ACCTCGTGATCCACCCACCTCGGCCTCCCACAGTGCTGGGATTACAGGCTTGAGCCACTGCGCCCGGCCGACAATCTTCTTAATCCCTTTTACCACTTGGTCAGAAATTTAAGTGTCCTAGTAAGTCACCCCTTCACAATGGAGTCCAGCCTAGGTGTCCCTGTTTTTCCTCTCAGTGGTGGGCTTTCTGTGATTGGGCCAAATAACTACGTTGTGGGTTGGTTGGTTTGTTTTTAGACAGAATCTCACTCTGTTGCCCAGGCTGGAGTGCATTGGCACATCTCGGCTCATTGCAACCTCCACCTCCTGGGCTTAAGCAAGTCTCTGCCTCAGCTTCCCAAATAGCTGAGATTACAGGTGCCCGCCACCATGCCTGACTAATTTTTATATTTTTAGTAGAGACGGGGTTTTACCATCTTGGCTAGGCTGGTCTTGAACTCCTGACCTTGTAATCCACCCACCTTGGCCTCCCAAAGTGCTGGGATTACAGGCATGAACCACCATACTCAGCCGTTTTTAAAAAAATCTCTCTCTCACAAAATTCTGAAGGTCTCATGAAATAATAGTATGTGTAAAGAACCTGGGTCTGGCCAGGAGTGGTGGCTCACGCCTGTAATCCCAGCAGTTTGGGAGGCCAAGGTGTGAGGATCACCTGAGGTTAGGAGTTAGAGACCAGCCTGACCAATATGGTGAAACCCCATCTCTACTAAAAAAATTAAAAATGGTGGCACATGCCTGTAATCTCAGCTACTTGGGAGGCTGAGGCACAAGAATCACTTGAGCCCAGGAGGCAGAGGTTGCAGTGAGCCAAGATCATGCCACTGCACTACAGCCTGGGCAAAAGAGGGAAATTGTCTCAAAAAATAAAATAAAATAAGGTCTGAGAAATACATCTCAATAAATAGTAGCTACAAGTTTACCTTTTAAACCTGAGATGACATGACAGCAATTCATACATTTTAGGACCTTGTAGGGCCAACAGGTGTTGACTGAGGTGAACTGACCTTTCTAAATGTAGTAGAGAGTGAGATGCTGTTTTTTTTTTTTTGTTTTTTTTTTTTTGAGACAAAGTCTTGCTCTCTTTAAGCAATTCTCCTGCCTCAGCCGCCTGAGCAGCTGGGATTACCGGCACACACCACCGTACCTGTCTAATTTTTGTATTTTTGTAGAGATGGAGTTTCACCGTGTTCACTAGGCTGGTCTTGAACTCCTGACTTCAAGTAATCCACCCACCTCGGCCTCCCAAAGTCCTGGGATTACAGGTGTGAGCCATCGCACCTGATGGAGATGCTGTTTATTCTAACATTTGTTCCACCATGAACCTTGAAGTTAGATTTCAAGTATTCAAAGTAGTAGTTCCTAGAGATATCGTAAGTGAATAGTTAACTTAAGATTTAATATTTGTTGGTTTTCTTTTGGTATTTTTCCACTTTTATCAGGGCATACCAATTCAATCACCATGAGTTGGAGCTTCCTGACTCGCCTGCTAGAGGAGATTCACAACCATTCCACATTTGTGGGGAAGATCTGGCTCACTGTTCTGATTGTCTTCCGGATTGTCCTTACAGCTGTAGGAGGAGAATCCATCTATTACGATGAACAAAGCAAATTTGTGTGCAACACAGAACAGCCGGGCTGTGAGAATGTGTGCTATGATGCATTTGCACCCCTCTCCCATGTACGCTTCTGGGTGTTCCAGATCATCCTGGTGGCAACTCCCTCTGTGATGTACCTGGGCTACGCTATTCACAAGATTGCCAAAATGGAGCACGGTGAAGCAGACAAGAAGGCAGCTCGGAGCAAGCCCTATGCCATGCGTTGGAAACAACACCGGGCTCTGGAAGAAACGGAGGAGGACAACGAAGAGGATCCTATGATGTATCCAGAGATGGAGTTAGAAAGTGATAAGGAAAATAAAGAGCAAAGCCAACCCAAACCCAAGCATGATGGCCGACGACGGATTCGGGAAGATGGGCTCATGAAAATCTATGTGCTGCAGTTGCTGGCAAGGACCGTGTTTGAGGTGGGTTTTCTGATAGGGCAGTATTTTCTATATGGCTTCCAAGTCCACCCATTTTATGTGTGCAGCAGACTTCCTTGCCCTCATAAGATAGACTGCTTTATTTCTAGACCCACTGAAAAGACCATCTTCCTTCTGATAATGTATGGTGTTACAGGCCTTTGCCTCTTGCTTAACATTTGGGAGATGCTTCACTTAGGGTTTGGGACCATTCGAGACTCACTAAACAGTAAAAGGAGGGAACTTGAGGATCCGGGTGCTTATAATTATCCTTTCACTTGGAATACACCATCTGCTCCCCCTGGCTATAACATTGCTGTCAAACCAGATCAAATCCAGTACACCGAACTGTCCAATGCTAAGATCGCCTACAAGCAAAACAAGGCCAACACAGCCCAGGAACAGCAGTATGGCAGCCATGAGGAGAACCTCCCAGCTGACCTGGAGGCCCTGCAGCGGGAGATCAGGATGGCTCAGGAACGCTTGGACCTGGCAATTCAGGCCTACAGTCACCAAAACAACCCTCACGGTCCCCGGGAGAAGAAGGCCAAAGTGGGGTCCAAAGCTGGGTCCAACAAAAGCACTGCCAGTAGCAAATCAGGGGATGGGAAGACCTCCGTCTGGATTTAATCCTGGCGGGCTTAAAACTTGTGCTTTTCATAGTTTATGGTAAGCAGCAGCTCACTGAATAATGACTTCCATTGAGTAAACATTTGGCTCTGGTTATCTTCAGGGATGCTGTTGGCTCATGATCCAAGCTCAGGGGACTCCAAAGGCGGGGCTGAGCTGAGGGGGAGAAAGGGAAACACAGTGTTCCCGGGCACATGTTCTCAGCAATAATACAGTTGCAGAACTTTACATTCTTGTCTTCCAGATCTGGAGAGGAACAGACATATTTAAATCATTCTTGTTGAACAGTTTTTGTATGTACAGTATTATGGTACTTTTTTTCAGTATGAAAACTTTTTTTGTATTTGTACATTGAACTGGTGTAGTTATACTTTTATATTAAAGGGGAAAAGGTCCTCATAAGTAATGCCTATTAGGCTAGTGTTATTGCTTTGTTCAGCAAATCCTACCCTGGCTATAGAGTTTTTAATAGATGCTACACCTAATAAAAGTGCCTCTCATATTGCAGGAAAGATTTCAGATGTATAAAGAGACTGAAGAGGAGATAGCAGTTTTTAGTCTTAGAAAGTAAGTTCATAGTAGAAAGGAGGTTGACGTCTTTCTTTTACATGAGAAATTTTTGAATCTCATTCATGTGACCAGAGTTGTGGCCAATTTTTGAAAACCTATTCTTATTTTCCAAGGAATTAAATGATTCACTGTAGGATTCCTTTAAATATCAAGCATCACCAGTATACGCTTTGATGGTGTGTGTATAGAACTTAAAAGTTCTTCCAAAAGCCCGATACAGAAACATGCCCCCAGTTTGGTAGCAATGTGGAAAACCTGGCTAGAGATGATGTGGAGCTGTCTCTCAGAAAGGAAACCATGCCTGGAAAATGGGCCCTAATAGGATGCTTAGTTGTGAACCTGTTGGATTTGCCTTAAGCCTCTATCCAGAAACCTGCCTGCCTCCCTCTGGTTAAGAAGCCAGTGGTGGATATTTTCTTTGTTAACATTAGAAATGCAAAAATTCGCTTTTCGACCAAGAATACTCAAAGCTACTTGTATTGGAAATGGCAGAAGGCCTAAATCCAAATTTCTTATTTTTTATAATTTACCATAGAACTTTTGTGATTAAGCATCTTCTGCCAATGGAGGTTTATGCCTGAAAGGTCATGAGTTTCTGTCTGTAAATAGACCCAAAGAGAAGTGCACTGTTTATTCCTTGTAGGCATAATGTGTTTGTCACTGACAAGGATTAACATTCACCCACTAGTCTTTTATTGCCATCTTCAACCTTATGTTGGAGAACTTTGCTTTTTCTTCATGTTTGCATTGTCTTAAATTTTGCGAGCTTCTGACAAAAAGCTTGGTAAAGGTTTAAAGGGGCCTTTGTTCCACCAGGGAGCATTTTATTTGGGGGTCTCACTCTTTTCAAACGAAAGCTATTGTAAGCCACCTCTGACTTGGAAATTCTAAAAGTATTAATATTTTTTATATCTTAATTGTAAAATGCCAGTTCTCCATTATTTAGATGAATCGTAGAACAACACCCTTTGTGCAGTATTTTTCTTTGTTTCTCCATTGCATTCCTTCCCCCACCAAAAAAAGAAACTTAAGGAAATTTTTTTTGAGACAGGGTCTCCCTCTGTTACCCAAGCTGGAATGCAGCAGCATGACCTCAGCTCACTGCAGCCTCTGTCTCCCAGGCTCAAGCGATCATTCCACCTCAGCCTCCCGATTAGCTGGGACTACAGACTACAGACATGTGCCACCATACTCGGCTAATTCTTTTCTTAAAAAAAAAATGTAGAGATGAGGTCTCACTATGTTGCCCAGGCTGGTCTCAAACTTTCGGGTTCAAGTGATCCTCCTGCCTCAGCCTTCCAAAGTGTTAGTATTACAGGCATGAGCTGCTATGCCCAGCCTACAAAATTTAACCTTATCTTTTAGCCATTCATTTACTTTTATTTGTTTTAAAATAAAAAAATTCACATTTTAGCTTAGAGAAGCGCCTCAGGAACTGTAAACATCTTAAGCAAGGCCGGGCGCAGTGGCTCAAGCCTGTAATCCCAGCACTTTGGGAGGCCGAGGCGGGTGGATCACGAGGTCAAGAGATCGAGACCATCCTGGTCAACATGGTGAAACCCCGTCT